ATAATAAAATGAAAAGAAATTTAAGCAAGACAAATAATAATGCTTTACAGACCAATTTCCGCCAAATTTGCATGACTCTTTCCCGCAATAATCCCACATACAAACTTTGAATACCTATCCAACCCTTCTATCTCTTTACCAATCAATGGAAACAATTTAAAAAATCTACTGATACCATTTTCATCTCTTGCCTGTACAGCAGCCTCGAATTCTTTCGAAAAAATCACATACAATCTTTCCTTAACATCCTTTAACGTCTTTTTTGGTACGTCAGGATATTCAGATGAAGGTACAGCAATATCAGCGAATTCACCATCCAAAATAGCAGGATCAAGAAGAAAAGCGCGATTCACATAAGAAGCGGCAGTTTCATAATCTTTCATGTAAAGAGCTTGATGAACGCCAGTGATACATTGCTTTAATTCTTGAACATCTTCAACTTCTTTGATTGATTGTTGAACTCTGGATTGTTCAAGATCTAGCTGACGGACTTGAGCGCTTATACGTTCTGCTACGGTTGAAGTGGCATTGATTGTATTTAATAGGCTTGCAGCTTGAGAGAGAAGAGTATCTAATTGGGGTCTTTTAATGTATATATATAATGATAAGTTAGATAATTGTCATGGCAGGAAAGATCATTAAGGATATTTATCATTCTTACCCGAGAATTTTCAATTTATCCAATTCAGTTTCGAGTTGTGACCCTTTTTCCAATAATTCATCTAAATTAGCGTCAACCTGATTTTCTTCTAAATCCAAAATTCTCAAGCATTCTTGGATATCTTCCACATTTTTTAATGATTTTAAATAAGATAACGATAAGTCGGATGGATTTTGTGATAAAGATGTTGATAATGACATTGTAGAATTGTAACGATTCAAGCTAAAAATTAAAAATATAATTTAGGTAACAGATATATAACTGTCGCTACGTATAATTTATTCATGTAATACAAGCTAAAATGATCGATCTTTAGTCACGTTGTTACACGGCATGTACGTGTCGCAAATTCGAAGTTCAAGAAAATATCACGGGAATTATGCGGTGATTTTATCACTCGAGTACGTTCTCAAATTCTAGAGATCCGTAGAATTTGAAATTGTACTTGAACACTGAAATAGTTAGGTCGTTCCTAAGATATCTTGTTTAAAAAGTTAAGGCACAATTTTGAATTATAGATTTCTAGAATTATAAAGTGTGTTTAAATGACGAATTGGTCTGATATATCTTTTAATTTTTGAAAAAATTAAGCGATCATAAAACCAGCCTACAATTAATTTAATAGTGTATAGAAGTTGACACGAAAGTATATACATATGTTTGAGATAGATACTGTATGTATACAATTGTTTAAACCATAATATGGGCTAAGTGCTGCAAAAAGGGGTAAATTGACAAAAAATCTTTGGAAAATCAATGCCCTAATTTTATTGAAATTCAATTGAGTTTTTTTATAAGATTAATGTACAGGAAAGAAATTACACTTGAACCTCATATCAAAAGGATGTTAAGACTAGAGACTCCGCCTAAACCTACGGAAAATCAATTTTTATGTTATCTTTTAATGTGTAGAGTAGGTGCAGGCAAATTTGCCTGCAAAAAGTTATATACTATTTTTTAAAAAAATTTTTTTATAAAATTTTATTTAATTTTTGATTTATATTTTGTTTTTAAATAATAATTATAATAAATAATTATATTTTATATAAATTTATACAAGATTAAAATTAATCTATTTTTATAAAATCCAAAAAAATAATTAAAGTTTTAAATTTAAAAATTTTTTTAAATATATTTGATCTCTAAATTATTATTAAAATTTTTATTTTGTTTTACTAAAAATAAAAAAACTAATATTTTTCAAAAAATTGTTTAAAATTGGTTTAAAGATATTATATATATTTTTTTTTAATTTAGCAATCCTGTTCCCTCATTAATATCACTATCAACATGAATATAAAAACGATCCAAATAGGTTGATATTAATGAGGGACAACTGTATTAAGTATGGTATGGGTGAGCAGATCAGTATGATACAGACCAAAATTAAGAACCAGATTATACTACGTACGTACGTAATCAGCTGTAATTCCTAATTCTAACGGTAATATACATACCGAATCGTATCGTAAGGATACTGATCTGCAAAAACTAACTTTATTTCTGTCAGCAAAGTCGGTGTTTCAGTTGCTTTCATATTTTCCATTAACCGAATCGATAAGCTATCGAATCAGAATCATTAAGTTACTGACTTTGGCTGATGTCCAAAACTTATCATTTCGGTCATTTTTCAAGTGTCTCTGAATTTATAGAAACAACCATAATGCAGATCTAGCAATTTCATATATATAATCATTTTCAATTTTCACCAATTGAAAAATGACCCGGGTCAGTTCTTAATGCTGATAAGACTTGCATACAATAATAACGATAATACAGATTAATCGCATATTAAATGAATACGTATTGCAATGACATAGTACAAATAGTACTTTTTTTCTTCGTAGTACTTATGGATTTACAAGTTACAATTTTCTATCACTAATGAGAAATAAGCAGAGTTTGAAGAACAGAGATGTCTATAATAAGCATCTAATTATATCAAAAAAGTCT